CACCAGATTTTGTTAAAGAGATATATCAATTTATTAAGAAGACAAAGTTCCTTTCTAAAACGAACTAATGTGCCAGCAGGTAAGTACGAGTGTAAGATAGTATCCAGTATCCAGTATAGAAATTTCATAGGAAATAAATGTATACTACAATGTAAACAAAACTAAAAAGACAAACCCGATATCCCAAACTAAGCCATAATATGATGAAGTGACACAAAGAGAAAATTACCACAGCAATACAGTTACATCCACATATAACATTGAAACAAGAACATCAGATCCATTGGCAGGTTGTAAGGATGAAGCTAAACAAGCTATATATGAATGAATGAATCTAAATCTCAATTAAAAGGTTTTTAAGGTTTCATTCCTTCCTCATCATCAATTAAATTTCTAGAGGTTTCGTTCAATTCGTAGATAAAATGAATAAATTGAAACAACAATTACCAACCTTGTTAAGAAGTAATGAAAAAAAAAATAGGCGAACTTGATGATTCTATTCGATAGAAAAGATCGATCGATCGATCTGGGATTTTTGAACTTTCGATGTTGTTGTTCTTCTTCTTCGTGAGTTTTACTACAAATAAGAAAACTAATTGAGAGAAGAAAACTTTTACCTAGATGTTGTTCTTCTTCTTCTTCGATGTTGTTATTCTTCTTTACAGTTTGTCAGATTGATTTTGTTTTCAGAAATCAGAGAAAGAAGAAGCTGAATTGAATCAAAGCTCGCTTGGAATTTTATTACTGAGTCAGGTGTGTAGATCGGTTGAGAGAAAGCGGATGTAAACTCGGTTTTAAAAGGCCGGGAAATATATTGGATGTATTAAATGGGCGCCCAAATTTACAATTTTTTATTAGGCCCAAATTCAGGGCTTGGGCTTAAGCCCTTGGGCTTGTTTGTCCATTGTCTATTCACCTATGCTAATGCTGCCAATTGTGAAGTGATCCAATTCTGCATTTTGATGAGCACATTGTGTTTTACATTTTATTTTATTTTACTTCCAGTATATCTGAAATTGATCACAAACACAGTCGGCGCCAATGTAAATACATAAAAGCTTGGGTTGAACAGAATAGATGGGAAGAGAGATTGAGGAAGAAAATGGCTGAGCTATCTTGGAGAAGATAGTTGCCTACGTATCTGGAATTGACCAAGTCCCAGAATCAATGAAAAGATTTGTAACGTAGAAAGATATGTGGTGGTAAATAATTGAGCTCGTATGAAGTCGCTAGTACGAGTTACTGAGCTCGGGTGAGTTCGCAAGTATGAAGGGTTGAAGTCGAGTTGTGATTAAGTTTGAGCTCGCGTGAGGTCGCAAGTGCGAGGAGTTGAGTTCGTATAAGTGTTTAAATAGAAGTGAGTGTAATTGACGTAGGTAATTAGGGGTATGTACACAATACACTGATGTAAAAGTGGTCTGGCATAAAAAAAAGATTGGTGGAATAATGGTAGAATGAGTGAGTTTATGGGTCTCAATGACATGACGTACTTAGTGTCCAAGCAAGCACCTTATACATTCTGCTTTCTTCTCATCAGCTAGTTCCTCTTCCTTTATATATATCTACTCTGAAGATCATATCCTTTACACCAAGAAGATAAATATGGATAACCAGCTGCAACAAAAGTTTCAATCTCTAGGCTTCATTGGCATATTCAAAGAAGCCTTTAAGACAATCTTCTCAGCAAAGAAAATCTTCTCACTTATCACCTTTATTTACCATGCATGATCTTCCCTTTGTCTCTCTTAATATTTTCTCACTTGCATATATTGCAATTTCTGATTAAGAGGATCGATTATTATTACTTACATTACACCCCTTCTGGTAGTTCTGAGCATCATCATCACTTAGTTGTCCTATGGACCATCTTCTCCATATCAAATGCTGGATACCTTGTGGATGTTTTCATTCTCTATCTTTTATCTACTTCATCTGTTGTGTACACATTGGTGAGCATCTATGCTGGTAATAAAGCATTAACATTCTGGGAGCTCCTTAGTATAGTAGTAAAGGTTTCAAAAAAGTTTATGACCGGCCGCGCCGTATCTGGTTGATGTTATTCTACCAGATTTTCACTCTCTTCTTCTTGAATTATATGTGTTTTTGGAACCTGATATGGATAGAACAACCAGGATGGTTCTCCATCGCTACGGTAGATCTTATGTTATCTGCAGTGCTTGTTGTCGTTTCTGGTTCCTCGAGTGTTGATTGGCATTTGGCCTGTGTATTCTCAATATTCGAAGATTCGTCTAATAGTACTGATCTAGGGAAGGATAAAATATGTATCCTTACAAAGGGTAAGTGGTTGTTTGTTCATATATACCATTGTTGCTGCTATTCAGCTTTCTGCAGTCATTACACTAGTATCTTTTAATCTGCTGGTTGTGCGAGAAAACTCTCCAGCAGGGTTCATAACTATATTAAGTAAGGTCAGTTATTGGATCATATTTACTTTATTGCTCTCCTTCACAATTCTGCTAGGTTTTGTTATTGAAACACTCATCTACTTCGTCTGCAAGGCCGATCTGGGTGAAAGCATTATTGACGACGATAAACTATGTCTGCTCGTAGTTCTTCGCCTGCAGGAAGAGTTTAATTGTTGCTGAGAAAGATGCTGCTACTAGTACAGTAGTACTACATCAATTAAGGAATATACTTGTGCTTGATTATATTGTTAACCATACACAGATATTAGACGAATATTATCATCATTTACGTATAATTTTATTAAGGAAATGAACTCTTCATCTTAAATCTTGATCCGAAGCCAAATTGTGTAAAAATGTGAATAAAACATTTTTTGAATAAAACAGTACTATTGGTGTATTCCGGCCGGACTGCAACTTTGCAATTTGGGGCAAAACCCAACATCCCATATTAGGTAATTAGTTGAGGGAAAGCCCATAGGGCCAAATTAATAATAGAGGCCCATTTCATTTTCATAAGAAGCCCGGTATATAAAAAG